ATCTAATGTGAAATACTGAAAAGAATTTTCATTTCCCCAAGGCAAAATCTAGTTAGCAGCACACTGTATCGAATGCCTGCTCCTTATGATATCTTTTGTGATCACAGCTTACAGATGGAACCTTCCATTGTATTTGTACAAAGAGAAGCATAAGGTGTTTAAGGTGTAAGCAATTTTAGATTAACTAGTGGTTTTCAGGTTATCAGTTGTCAGGCAATAAAGAATTATCTTGTTGACTAAATCCATGCTCAATCTGTGTAGGACTGTGTGTGTGTTACACTCATTTGTTTGGAGAACGTGTCCTTCCAGATGCCATGAAGTCTCAGTTGTGCAACACAACAGCCGAGGTTAGCCAAACTGTTTAGGGAGTTCCTAAGAACCAGAAAAGGAAACACTGTTTACCGTTCAGTAAGCCTGTTCTTCATTTTCTGTCTTCTCCCAGATAGGCCCCCATCTTCCTTGGCTGACTGTGTGTCACTGAGTTGCGGGAGCATCACTGTGGCAACATGATGTAGACAGCGTGCATCTCCTGGGAACACCTACTGCTGCTCTAAGTCCACTTGTCTGGTCGTTGCAGTTTTTCATTCTCAGTATCTCTCTGGAGGAGGCTTGTAATGATGCTGGGGATGATGTTTTAGGTGGCTTCCTAAGAAGTGACAAAATACACATGCGTCATTCTGCTTGGCACGTACTGGACACACAGTTGGAAGCATTTTTTTCTGTTGTTGTTGTTGTTTGCCATCGAGTCGGCCCCAACTCATAGCGACCCCTCCTTGGGTTTCCGAGGCAGTATCACTACGGAAGTAGGATTGCCCAACCTTCCTTCCGAGGAGTGGCTGGTGGGTTTGAACCACCAGCCTTCTGGTTAGCAGTCAAGTGCCTTAGGCACTATGCTACCAGAGCTCCTGCATTTCTTTCTAGTGAATACATATAGACTTCTGTGGCTGTGGGGTTGACCCCGACTCATGGTGACCCCATGTGTGTGGGACTAGAAGAGATCTCTATGGCAATGGCTATATCTTACTGAAGTGTGGCGCCATTGAGTGGACCCCAACCACCAGCCTTTGGGTCAGTAACCAAGTGCGTAACCATTTGTGCTACCCAGAGACTCCTAGCGAAAGTGTTGTTGTTGGGTACCATTGGGTAGATTCCAACTCATGTTGACCCCATGTGATAGAGAAGAAGTGTTCCTATGGTTTCCTAGGCTGTAATCTTCATGACAGCAGATCACCAACTCTTTCTTTTGTGGAGCCACTGGGTGGATCTGAATGGCCAATCTTTCAGGAGCAGTTGAGTGCTTAATTGTTGTGCCACCAGTGTTCCTTAGTGAAAGCATTGCAAAACCACTAACACTGAGTCGATTCCAACTCAGAGCGAGCCAAAGCAGTAAATCTTTACAAAGCAGATTGCCTCATCTTCCCTCCATGGAGCAGCTGGTGGGTTTGAACCGCCAACCTTCTGGTTAGCAGTCAAATGCCTTAGGCACTGCACCACCAGAGCTGCTTAGTGAAAGCACTGGCCCCAGGCAAATGTTCCCTCTTCCATCCACATCTCCCGTTCTGTATTCTGAATCTGAATGAACAAACATTCACTCACCCTCTTTCCTCCCACTTAGGCCCCTCCTACTTCTGTTGCTCTCTCTCTAAGACCATGAAATAGAATGAAAAGAAGATGAACTCCTTTCCCAAAGCTCACTGATTATTCAAGCAAACCACATGATCTTTATTTTCTCAAAATATAGTTTGAAATTTCAAAATCCTTTTCTTACTATTTAGGAAGCGTGCGTTTCCGTGTGTGGGGTAGGAAGTTTGGCAAGCTGAGGACCCTGGTGCCGGGTGCACGGCAGGGAAGACAGGATTGCTCTCACTGAACAGTACACCCGGGAAAGGCTGTCTTATCTCTATTTTAATGACTATCAAAATAAGTACTTTTTAAACAAGTGTCCAGTGGAGGCACACATAAGGGGCCATCCCACCATCCCATGGGCTGGCTCGTGGCTCCCCTTAAGTTATGAGCATAAAGAGTTCTTGGGATAAATAGCATCAATGGCTTAGAAAAGTCTGCTAAGGTTAGGGGGAGTCCTCAATTTTATTATCAGTGCCAAAAATTTCGCAGTGCTTTTTAAGTTTAAGCTTCGAGAAAATAACGTACATAATTTAAAAATCAATGGGTAGCTACTAGTTTGCAAACAGTGGGTGACATTTTGTAAAAGTTACAAGATTTGGCAAACAATAAATCAAGTAGAACTTTTAAAAACATAGCTTACGGTTTCCAAACTAGTAGCTTCCTGCTGATTTTAAATTTAGCAGTAAACCAAGTGGACTGATTTGGATGTGATCGTAAGGGAAACTAATGTACTGTGTTAAAGTAAAATACATGTACTAAGAAAATGATATTCTTAGTAAGGCATTATTTCCTATAGCATGTCATGATGGAACATTTTAACTTTGTTTTGTTAATTTCTGACTGAAATGAGACTATAGCAGAATTTTTCCATCTGTCTTTATGGAACAGAGTATAAAACAGTATGTCCAAACAAATGAGCAGGAGAGATTTCAGACAAGGAAACTCCGCGACTTCACGCTGTTCCTCGCTAGCGAGTCGCTTTCAACTCAAAGCGACCCCACATGTGCAGGGTAGAACTGTGTGGCCGTGACCTTTGGGGAGCAGACCGTCAGGCCTTCATTCTGAGTCACCCCTGGACGGTCTGGACTGCCAACTGTTGGCCAGCAGTCGAGGGCTTAACTTTTTGCACC